TTTGGTTAAGTTCTAGGTTATTTGGCCAACCAAATTGACCTAGCCAGGTTGGGGAGTTGGTCACTCAAAACTAGCCAACTCGGGTTATATTGGTTTGGGTCAATTTTTGATTTGATTGATTAGACCAAAAGATTTAAACTTAAAAAATTAAGTTTAAAACTTACAATGGTATTATTGAAAAATAAATTTTAAATTTTAAATTTACAAATGGCTAAACCAAATTTGGTTTGGTTTTTGTCGATTTATAAATGGCCAAACCAAAATCGACCTGACCTGGTTAGGTTGGAAAATTGCTGAACCGAAACCCACCAAAAATACTAGAAAACTGACCAACTCGAGTCGAGTTGGGTCATGTTGGTCGGTTTCACCGATTTAATGAACAACCTAGATGAAATTAATTATTATTATTTTTGTATTGTAAAAAATTATTAAAAGTAGTATATAAAATACAACTAATTATTAATTATTTAAAAAGTTAAAATATAAAACAATTATCTACTCTTATGTGGTGTTTAACTTTCGCTTAACAATGCACAGGTCCTTGCTGCTAGTATGGCAGCAACCCCCCACCATTCAGACACGTGGCCTTCTCATTTTTTTTGGAAACCTAGACACGTGTCATTTTTCTGAGAAGTTGTTGTTAAAGCCCACATCCCACTACCACCATTCAAACAAGTGGCCTTCTCATTTTCTAGAAAGCTAGACACGTGGCATTTTCTGAGAAAATCCTACTAAAACCTACAACCCACTATCAGACTAAAGCCCCCCACCATTTAGACACATGGCYTTCTTATTTTTTTAGAAAGCTAGACATGTGGCATTTTTTAAGAAATTGCTACTAAAGCCCACAACCTACTACCACCATTCTCAATCCATTCCTATAAAACTGCAGAAAATGCAAAAGTGGTTATCCACAATCACTTCTGCCAACATTCTATCGATCTCAATTAATCATTAACCCTTTACATATCATAACAAAAAAAAACTATCCATATTCTAATCCAATCTCATAACAAAAAGGAAAAACTATAGATAATGGTGATTGATTTACAGGCATGGGTCACATGTAGAGAAAACGAAGACACTTGGAGGCTTTATACCACTGAAGAGGGCATTACCATCATTCCACACTGAATATAGTGAAGTTCCATGATCCATGATCAAGACAAATATCATGGCTACCAGCCCAAGAAAACAAGGCATAGATGTAGGGGAAAACAAATTTGTTGTCAATGGAGGAGGTGGTGATAGTGGGAGATTCTTGTGAAATTGATGGTTATGATGGGTTTGGCTTGCTATTGTTTGTTTTCTAACTTTGTTCCCCACATGCATGAAGCTGATCTCTCTCTCTCTGTGCGTTATAAAAATATGATACCATATTCAATTATATTAAGATTACAATTTTTCAGAAAAAAAAATAATATGTGCCATGTGCTTCTTATCAATTGTTTCCTTTTAAGACTTTTGTTCCTATTAAGCACTTCAACTTCTAATTTAAAATTTAATGTAGAGGAGTTTCATATTTCATCTGATTCAAACAATTAAGTTCTGTATTTTGATTGTAAGGTGCATCAAGTGGAACTAAGAATTTGACTCTGACGGGGATTGCTCAGATTGGTTGTGACTTGTGAAAAATGTATGCTTACTTTTAGGGACATGATCACTACAAGGATGGTCTCGCTACCTTAGAGTTTAGTCAGAATATGTAGGTTCCTTTTGATTCATCGTAAGTTTGATTTTATGTTATTTATTACTTCATAATTGTATATTATGATGTTTTCTTTGTGTCTTTAAGAGTTGTTTTGTACCCCTTAAATTGGCACCATGGTTTTTAAAAACGATCCGGAGACCGAATCGGTCAGGGGTTCGGTTATCGGGTCAAACAGTTCAATCATTCAAATCGAACGGTCAGTTCRTTCTGACAAAAAAATAAAAAAAATAAAAACGGTCAAAACCGTTTGAACGGTTAATCACTCAGGTCAGCAGTTTACTGACCAAAATCAACAGTTTTTTGAAAAATCCTGATTTTGAGGAAAAACGGAACCGATCACTTGACTGGTTCCCAATTTTTCTAATCGGACCGTCCAATCCGATCCGGTTTTGAAAATCATGATTAACACTGTAGGAAGACAACTGTGTTTATGCTGAGAGTATATACAATTTTTTGGATGCAAACAAATTAAATTGGAGGGAGGGATGTTGTATGTTTCATTTAATCCAATTTAGGATGGTAGAATTAAATAACTAGCTTACCTGATTTCTCCCTCCCGTACAAGACTACAAGTCCAATATATGGATGATGCATTTATTACATGATGTTTAAATATTGAAGATTAAAAGATAAAATGACTATGGCAATCCATTAAAATACAAACCACCATTATAATAAGTTATATGTTAATAACTTAATAAAAATAAAATTAATACTAATTAATGCAAATTTAATAAAAAATAAAAAATAATAAAAGATATTAGTTTTTAACATTAATTTTTAATAAAAATAATAATTAACAAGTTTTATTTCTAAAAAATAATAAATTTATAACAATTAATATCCTTTAGAAAGTTATTGCAGTGGCAACCTCTGGTTTCGAATTCTTCGCTAGGTTTTTGTTTTCCTTTACTCAGTTTCATATGAAAACCCATTGTATAGAACAGTGTATCACGATGCACTGGATAGTGTTTCCCCGCTTCCAATTCAGCGTACACGTAAGTGCCATGTCACTCTCTTGTTTCGATGCATTCCCGTTTCTTTTCATTCTTTTCTAAAAACGGTGCAACCAAATAGGTTTTTCGACCATTAGACCCCAAAATCCCATGTGGTGCCTACAACGGCCACGCAACACCTCGATACCAAACAATACATAGTCTTAAAGTAAAGGGAAAATTCCCAATTAGTATCATGTACTCTGGGCCTAGTGCCACTTTAGTTTCCAAACTTTAAAATGCGACAATTCAATATCCAAACTTTTAAAACGTAACAATTTAGTACCTACCATTAATTAGTTTTTAACTAACTGTTAAGTGGCATTTGAAAAAAACACAAATACCTTTCAAATATTATTTAATTTTCTTTATCAATCTAAGTGTTGACAAAAACTTAACAATCCCAAATCCTTGCCTTTTTCCATTCAAGAAAGTTGAGGTCACGTTTGAGTGGACATTCTGATGACCCCAATTTTCTTGAATAGAAGAGGAAAGGAATTGAGAATATTAATTTTTTGTCAATATTTTGATGGTAAAGAAAATTATACAACACTCAAAGGACATTTGTGTCTTTTTCAAATGCCACTTATTGACTGATTAACAACTACTTAACAACAACAGGTAATAAATTGTCATATTTTAAAAGTTAAAATTGCATTTTAAAGATGGGGGACAAAAATTTCACTAGGCCCAAATCGAGAATTTTCCCCTAAAGTAAATGAAACGTTGGATCCAATTCCATTTCCGCCCTCCAAAGGACTGAACCGAAAAGCACGTGCTGTGACAGGAAATTGCAAATGCACGCCACGCATCCCCACTGATTTCCCTTAGAAACTACGTTTCAATCTTTACTTCCCTATCCCCACTGACTTAATCTGCTGCTGCTGCTTCTTCCTGACTCCAACTTCTTCAATACGGTGGTGAGCGAGATTTTTCGTCCCTTCTATTTACTATTTGTTGTTTTCCTTTTTATGTTTTCATCTTCTGCATCCTGCACTCCCGAAAGGTTATATTAAGCCAAAATATCTTTGTAATTGGAATATTTTTATTTTTTAGTTTAATTGTTGCATTCTATTGCAAATCCTTTTTGGGTTTCTGAGACTATATAGACTTTATCTCAGATTTGTTTAGATTTTTACTGTTTCTCAAATCACTCAATCTGGGTAGACTTTGACGGTGGCCTATTCGAACTCTTTTATCTCTATACCTGATAAAGTCGTGATATGGAGCAAGCTGTCATCTGTTTTATTGGGGGATTTTATGTAAAGCCTTTGATGGACCTATCTTCTGGTTTTCTTTTCTTTACCCATCTTCCAAAATGTGGAGTGTTGGGTATCTTAGTGTATGTGGATAACTGGATTACAGGTACTGATTCATCCTATCTCAATGTTGTTTGAATTGATCCACCTTGACGCTTTCTTCTGGTTAAATTGCTCATGTTGATAGATAACATATGTCTGTAATCTGTATTTGTTTTATCAGCTTCCCATCTCACGAAGGTTATCATCTGTATGTGCTTCCCAATCTATAGATCTCCATAAAGATCGGCAACTAGTAGGCAGGAAGAATTTAGAATGCTATATAAGAGGACTGTGCTACTGGGTCCTTGTCAATCCATTTTGACAATGGTGAATTGTGTGTTTGATCATTCTTGAACGGTTGCGAGAAAACAAGGTTTGGCGATAAGCAATGAGGTAACTGCCTCTATTCCCAAATCTAATCCAGTTATCAAGATCAGAAGAATTTAAGGCCTTATACCCAAATCATATAACAAAGCATCACCCCTTGCGCACCAAGTCCTAAAAGTTTCATAGATATAGACCTTGAAAGCAGCTCAGGTTGATTTATACCCCAAGTTCACATAGTGAAAGTAGAATGCCCAAGGAATCCAAACAGATTGTAAAGACAAATTATGTATAATCCTTCCATAGACTGGTAGAAATATTTCATAATTTACTGCTCCTTTTTTGTAATGTGCAATTATAATGTAACATTCTTTTAGATGTAGGATATCAAATGACAAGGTTGCTTCAATAAGTAGCTTCCCTCTCCTCCCTGCTTCTGGTTAATGTTTTGCAATTCAGAAGTTTGATTTTGGCTAGACCTAGACTTCTATACAGAAAGAAAAAAAGTATTGAGGTTGTGACCTTGTCCATGGATCAGGCTTAGCAACTAGCAAGTCAAGCATTTGTCAGGTTTACTCATTCATAAATTCTGCTTTAGGCTTATTTAGAACCAAATTGTGCTAGACTGAGAAGACCTATAATCCAGAAAACCAATGGCCCAGATTATCATCAGAAGAAAAAAGTTGTCTCATTCATGTTTCCAAGTTCCAATTACTAACCGCTTCGCTTTACACAACAGAGAGCAGTTTTTCCAGGCGAGAACATTAGGCTCAGTTTGGGAAGAGTAAAAATACAAATATGTACAGTGCAAATACAGGTTTAGAAATACAAAATACAAGGCTTTGCACTGTACATAAGAAAAGGCAAACATCTCTTGCTACAGGATACCATACTGGGAGATGAAAATGCCAAAATTCTTGGAAGGCTCAGACATTTTCTTGGTCGGCCAAAGGCTCAAAATTTTAAACTTTAAAATTCACTGTCCCATTTTTTCCATTCACAATGGACACAAAAGAAAAGAACATGAAGTAATATACCTTCCCAATATACAAAACCAAGACATATGAATGTTTTTCTTCCTGAACACATAAACAATCATCACCAAACGCAGTTTATACAGGTTTCTCGCCTGGAAGATATGATGGAGACCCACCCTCAACTTTGCTCTTTTTTCTATTGAAGAAACCACTTAAACTGGGCCATAATGCTTTCTTTGATGTACACTTTTTCGGTTTCTCCACCTTACGGGCTTTTGAGTTCGGCTTTTGAACCTGAGCATAGTGTGGAGATGATTTCACAGAAACATCTGCCTCTGCCAGAATCAATGTTGCAGCTTCAACTGCCTTTTTTTGCTCTCTTTCACGCCATCTCCGCAGTTCTCCCTCAATTGCTCTTTTTGCTTCTTCTGCCATCTCTGCCTTCTTCAAGGCTTCCTCTGTTGCAGCTTTAATCTCCTCAATTTCCTTTTGAGTTGCCTCCAACCTTTTCAGTGCTTCATTCTCACTTGCCTTCACAGCTTCCACCTGAGCCATTGCAGCAGCTACTTTCATTTCAGCTAATTTATCAGATTCCTCAACTTTCCGGCTCAAAGATTCAAACTCTTCTGTTGATATTGTGATATTGGCACCAGACTCAGATGGTGATGCACGAGATGCATTTGTTCTTTCAGACAAAACCTTGATCTGATCAAGGGCCATTGCCTCTGCTGCTTTTGCTTCTTCAGCCTCTTTCAATGCAACCAGTAGCTTCCTTTCTGTTTCTTCTAGCACAGTTCGGGTGGCTTGGGCTTCCTTCTTCAGCTCTTCAGCATTTTTCTTCATAGTTTCTGTTTCTACCCTTGCATTTTCAGCTTCTGCTGTTAGCTGCTGCAGTGTTGAGATTAGTTCATCGGAAGCACCTTTTGCTTTAGACTCTAAGGCAAGGGCTGCCTCAAGCTCATTCTTGCTTTTCTGGAGCTTGGCATGCAGATTACCAGCAACAGATTCAGTTTCTGCTTCTTTCTCTTTCAGATCAGAATGCTCTTTCTTAATAGTCTCTAGCTCCAGCTTAAGGGACTCCACCAAGCTCTGGAGTGAGCTTTCTTCTTCTGCTACTTTTTGTAGCGCATCTTTAGCATCATCAAGTTCTAATGTCACAGTTTTCACTGAATCCAAATCAGAAGCTCGAGCATCTTCAATCTCCTTTTCTAGAGCCTCTATCTCAACAGCTGTTTCAGCCAGCTTTGCCTGAAGATTCCTGGTAGGTTCAGGATTGAACTCTTTTCTCAAGGATAATAACTTCTTCTCAGCTTCTTCTAAAGCAGTTTTATAAGACTGCCCCTGAGCATCTTTTTCTGCAAGATTATTTTCCCGATCCTGTTGTGCTTGCACAATAGCAATCTTCACATGCCCCAATGATTCTTGTACTGCTGCTATCTCCCTTGAGAGTTCACCAGCCTTCTCTTTGTTAGTCTCCACTGCATATCCAGCTTCTGCTACTTGCTGGAAGGCAGCAACTTTTGCTTCCATTAATGCCTTGAAATCCTGGCATATTTTCCTAAGTTCTTGTTTTGCAGCATCAAGCTCAGTGATGGCAGCAGTATACTGTTCTCTTGTGCTGTCCAAATCCTGTTTCCAAGCACCATTAGCTGGTTCAAGGCCAATAGAATTTACCTCTTCTAGTTTCTTAGCTTGATTCCTTGCAGCATCTGTTGCTTTAATTATGGACTCCTTGGATTCCTTTACAGCTTTGATCTTATCAGTCAAATCCTGAACGGTTTGTTTAGCCTCTTCAAGCTCAGAAAGTGCTTGGACCTTGGTGTTTTCAGCATTTTGCAATTGTCTGTTGAGCCTGCTTACCTCTTTTTGGGCCAAATGGAGCTGGGTCTCTTTTGCCAAAACTCTCTGTGGTACAATAAGAGATGGAGTATACATGTTAGAGAAACAGCTGATGTAATCAGAGAATAGTATGGCTTGGTCTGCATAAGCAGGATAATAAAGATCCAGCACAAGCCGCTAGCTTGAAGAAAAAATATTGAGCTAAAAGGATTCCCATATTAAAGGCATCAATAAATGAGAAAACTTTATAACATGACAGATAACTATATAACATGGCAAAAGAAGCAACCAAACAGTTCAAAAACTATGCTTGGATAAAAGGACTAATTACCATAAGCTTCATGAAAAATAAATGTGATTATTATTAATAAAGAAATCAATGTGATTATTGGTGCTTAGAATCTTGAAAATATTGCTCGTTTCAATTGATTGTCTGATGTCAAATTTTCTGAATAAATAAGATTTGGTATATATAATCACAAAAAAAGGGACAAATGCACCCAAGAGTAACACCATTTTTCCTCACTGATGGAAAATTGGAACCACAAAATGCAGCATCAGAAAATTTCTCAAATTCAAGTTGATTTTATGCTTTGTCAGCAGCATTAGTCAATGGAATAACTACCACTATAAGCAATAGATAATGTGACCTCACCTAAATTTTCAAAAACTAATTATTTGATATGAGAAATACCTCTGTAGGAGAAGGTTTTGACTTTTTAATGCCAGGTTTCTCCCCTGAGGAAGTTCCTTTGACAAACAAGTTGACAGCATCTTTCACTGAATGAAATGGGGCTCTGGTGTCTATCTCTCCTACCTCTGCTCTTAAAGAATTCTTATCATTGCGGCGAGCTTTTGTGTCCATACTGCTCTTGTCTGTTATTATATATGTTTTGTTGCCCTCTGGTATCTACCTGTCAATGTAGGTGAGAACCATTAGTCATGAACAAAAGGATGGCTAATCTAAATTTAGAAGATAACAAATGCATTCTAGCATCTTGAATCTAATTGCCACCCTGATGAATTCATCATTCAAAAGCATAGACCCATGTGGCTGCAATGACATCCCATCCAAATTGGGTGTGAGCATCTATTTGCATGTTGGAAAGACCATTATATTTGAATGGTGGAACCAAGAAACTTGGTCTTTAAGGCCCTTTATCCAAAGGATGCCTAAGGTAAAAGCACATTTCCCACATTGCTGAATTTGGAAGTACATTCTAAAACAGAAATCCCCCAATATTATTCCATATTTTTCCTTCACAAGTACTAGTATTACACTAATGGTAATGTGCACCACCTAAAAGCTAAAACACACCATACTGCAGGACCATGACACCAATTAGGCATCTGGGTGAAAATCGCTGTAGAATGGCTTTGCTATTCTTTTAAATGATACTAATCTTTAAGAAACTATAATGCATCTGGATGAAAATACTGGAGAATAATGCCATTCAAAACATTTTCTTTTCTTTTAAATGATGCCAGTTTTAAAATACAGACTCCTCTGGATAGCAGATGCCAGCACTGCAGCTTACAGTTGATCTTCAATGTTAAGTTGCCGTGCCAGCTTCCCTTTTTCCTATATTATATTCTATTTTATCTCTTCTATTATCTTTTCTTTGGCATTTGTATGAATTCAATACAAAATAAAGAAATATATAGGTCTATTAAAATCCACTTCTGGAAAAAAATGCATATTTTACTGGATCCATTTGACATATTTGGTAAAATAAATCCTTTCTTTTCAAATGTAGGAAATCTTGTTTTTAATGTAAGAATCAGTGTTTGAAACATATTCAAGAATCAGTTCAAGGCGCAAAAATAGAAAAGCTAAAAACTTAACATGTAAAACATATTCAAAAAACATAACACATAAAACATATTCAAGCAGATAAAACTTTCAATCTCTTTGTTCTTTTCCTAACTGCATTATTTCAAATAGTTAATGTGATGTTAAACATTTTTCTCCTAATTTACGAGCCACCTTTGTACCAAGCCTCTTGAGGAAAGCCCCTATTTGCTAATGTTTGTTCATTCATTCATCCTAAAAGATACTTTTAAAAGACAAATTAAAATTATAAAACTTTTTTTTTGTAAGGATAAGGGATTAAAAATGTAAGACCTCGACATGGACTTATTTGGGCTTGTCTCAAGGAGTCAAGGGGCTTGGTCGGGGATCCGGGGGTAGCCCCCTTCCGCCCAGCCGCTAGGCCTAACAAAGAGAAAAATGCACAAATTTTGGAAAGGCGCACACCTTTTGAAAGCATAAAAGATAACACTACAGTATCTAACCCAATTTTACTAAAAATATGTTCCGACTTCCAAATAATTAAATAGGTATAGCTAATTAGCACATTTCTAAATAAGTTGGATTAAGTATTATATTTATTCATTTTCCCCAAAAAGGCAATGCCTTATATATTGTGGACAAGAATGGGTCCAAACTTTCAACTTAAAACAAGTCTTACTCTAGAATCAAGGCTAGTTTCTTTGAAGAAATGCTATAAAGTGAAATAGAAGAAATTTAGAAACAATAGCAACCAAGCTTTGGTTTCTGTTTCCTATGGAACTGGTATTATAATAATATTATTAATTGTTGGAGCAGCTAAACCTGAAATAATAAGTATGGAATAGATATTATATAGTCAAGACCTTCTGAAGATATATTAAAGAGAAGCAAGGAAAATATGTTCAATGAAAGCACTAAAATAGGATGTTTACTTCTACTAGTTTTTTTTTTTTTTATCAGCATTAGAAAAATTAATTTACTTCTACTAGGCTAAACTGAACACCATAAATATTGATCTAATTCCAAATATGATATGAAATTTAATGCAAAAGATGCAATATAAGAAAATATAAGAACATCCAGTCAAGAGTCACTGCCATTGGATATTATTGGACCTAAATACACAGTAGAAAAATGCTATATTATCTAATTCTATATCATGTTTGATCACTGCAAAATGCTAATGACGATATTGTATTGTAATATTACCTAATTCTATAAAAATAGAGCCTGTTTATCCCCCATCTATTTGCAAGACACCAGAATGATATTTAAACATATTAAATATATCTTTACTTCTCTGTAACACAGGTAGGGTAACCGACTTCTTCACTATCATAGTCATAATCATTATCAGTCCAAAGTATAACTAAAAATACTGAAGAAACTCTTATTCTAATAACATGGGATTTATCATGCAAATCATGTTTTGCTATTCCAATCCATGGCTAATTTCCTGATTTAGTTTCCCATAGCCAATATAGCACTTTTTCCTCAGCAGCACAAGTACTTCTAGACATCCCAGTGGAAGCAACATAGGTATGCATAGCTGTAATACTCAAGAGTAAGAGCACCACTTCTCAGACCACCTAATTAACTGACAGAGTCCCCTTGTACCATTTTTTTCAAGAGTTGAAGAACTGAAATGTGAGCATCTTGAAGGAGCTAAACACCTAGGCCCTCTTAATGTCCATTATACCATGTCGTTGTCTTTGAAGAATTAGAGATAATGTATGTCACGTCACCATTGTTCCCATATATGAATTATGTTAATGGTGTAGAGATGCTCAGTTTTGTCTTGAAGCTCAAAACATCAATTCACGTGTAAGTAAGAGATTAGAGATGGAAGATTAAAAAATGCACGTTGGATAATGTTTTATTATACTAGTTTTGAAAGCTAACGGATATTCTCTATTCTTTAGCCCATACACCAAGGTTCAAACTTCAAAGTAATGCTACAGAAACCTACCATGGGTCGAAAACAAATCTTGTATACTTGGTATCAACATAAATTCCAGAGAACTTCCCAGAGATGTAATTCATACAAGTACAGACTGGGAAAAAAGCATTAAGTATAAGCAAGACAAAAACACAACCAGCAGAAGATCAAGGAAGGTTCTTTGAGCATAATGTATGGTCAACAGGAAATCAGTCACCCAGTAAAGGGCAAAAATAGATAAATGCAATAACAACAATATCTGATATCCATGCCACCTCTTATTTTAAGTTTCAGACTAGTGGAAAACAATATCTTTAATATATCTTAGCATTTCAGCAACTATAATACTTCATTTGAAACCCAATCGTCATTCTTAGGATTGTGTTAGGTCTGTAGTTACGCAATTCACCAAGTCCTTTCAATTTAGTTATCAGAATATTAAAGAGCTTGTTCAATTAATTCCCTTAATCTCTGTATTGCGAAAAGATGCTTTCTTTTTTCTTTCTCATTGATTGATTTTGGAATTTATAAGAATTTCAAGCACGTAATGATGTTACTGATTCCAGACGTATTTGCGCAACGGTTTCAAGTTTTCATGAATCTTTGCTTGAAAGTTTTACAAGTTTCATGGATTTAATTGAATAAAACAGAAGTAAAAAATTGCGAACTATGAGGAAGAAGGGTATGTTAGAAAACGAAATTAAGCAACAAATGATTAACAACCAGAAAATGGGGCGGGGGAGGGAAGCTTGAGATGAAACAATGCAAAAAAAGTGAAAAAAAATGGTACCTGAAAATTGGTTACTCGAAAACCCTAATGAAAGCGTGTCTGGAAGCGAGAAACCAGGTGATAAACCCTAAAATACGTCAATAATCAGGGAAAGATGTAAGAGCCTCCAACGATAATCAGAGCACCCTAAAATGACGACGTAACCAAAAGCGGTTCCTCTTCTTCTGCTCCGATGTAGGATATACACCTAAAATCAAAAGCCAACGAGAAGCACAACGAAGACCTAGAATAGGAGCTCCATCTGTTGAAGCGTCCCCAAACACCAAAAACACGGGTGCCCCGTCGCTTGAGGAGCCGGCTCCAATGATTTGGAGAGTTTTCAGTGTAGCAGGGTTTTCGAATTGAGCTGGTGCCGAATGGAAGAAAAATGACAATAGGTGCAGAAGATGGAGAGAGACGATAGAGCGCGAGCGAGCGAGCGAGAGAGAGAGAGAGATTTGAAAGTTTGAAAGTGGTAATTGGTATTGGTCTATTGGGGCAATTTTTTAATATTTATACCTGCAAGTCTGTAAGAGAGAGAGAGAGAGAGAGAGAGAGAAAGAGAGAACCGTTGAGGAGTCGCTCCCTAGATGTGCCAGATCAGCATATCACAGCGTTCAATTCCAAAAGATGAACAAATGCCAAAAAGTAAACCTGCGCTGGATGTCCACGTCGGATGGTTTGTTGTCCTCTCTCTCTCTCTCTCTTCTCTTTTCTGTTCCTTCTTTCCAAACCTAATGAGTCAACAAACACTTATAAAAATGCCAACGTTAAAACCACGTGATCTGAGTGTGACACGACAAAAATTGACTGCCACAATGCCAGTGCCAGATCCCACCATTCTTTTCATTTTTTTTGTTTAATTCTCAATTCCCGTCTAGAGAAGAAAAATAAAGAGATTTACTGCTCTGGTCGGACTGGTCCCACCACCTGGATCCGATATCATTGCAAATTCATTCCCGTTCAATGAATGAGATCAAACGGCCTCAATTCATCTCTGCTTACGTACGGTACGATGATTTTTATTATTGCGATTTGCGAATATACTAAGTGGGACCCGTTAGATGTAGCCAATAAATATCACCCATCATACATGGATCCATGGGTCCATAGCGAATATACTATGGATCAATGGGTCCATAGCCCACATACAATGTACGACAAAAAAAATTTGGTCCTTCAACCACCCAACCGGGGGATCTCAATTCCACGATTCTATGCTGCCACCCAGGGGTGGGGCCGTCGAGGGGTCGGTGTTAGGGTTTAGGGGTTTGGGGGATAAATCCAAATTTGCTTTTGCGAGTGATTTTCACACCAACCTCCTAGCACTAGGGCGGTGTTTACATAATACAAATCAGCCCCCACAACGTCCCACAGCACATCTCTACCGTATATTTGGAATATATCCCAATGATAATATCAAAAATGATGGTATTAGGGAGATGTTCCCAATACACAATGGATGTGCTGTGGGATGTTGTGGGGGCTTATTTGAACTTTTGTTTACAACCAATGTCGTTTCATGAGAAGTGTTTTCTCAAAAAATGATACGTATAAATATGGTGTTTTCTCATAAAATACTTTTTTTAATCTTTATTTGATGTCATTGTTTTGTTGCCACATAGGCATATTTTAAGCTATATTTGGTTTGAAGGAAAAGGTAGGGAAAGGAAGGAAAACATAGGGAGACTGATGGTTGGTTAGTCAATGAATGTGTGGAGCCTGATAGCTCACTCAAGTGTGGGTGGACCACCAACCAGGGTGAGAAGTCAGGCTCGACAAGACCTACAYTGAAATAAGTCGACTCTCGTTCGAGCTACTGAAATGAACCAAACGTTGTTGACTCCAAAGATCGAGGAGCGAGTGAGCCCCTGGCTTCCTTAAGAGCACCCGACACCCTAGCTCAATACAAGGTTTGTAAAGGTTTTCCTACATTTACTTTCCTTTCCCTACTTTTAAATGTTTATTGATAGTGCCACATAGGCATCCTATCAACAAATGCTTCATTAATTGCATTTATGTGTATCGAAGTTTGCAAATGGAGCTTCTGAAACAGGTAGGCATTTAGTGACATTTTGTTGATGTGGTGCCTAATGGCGCCTATATGTCATAAACGCCCTCATTAAATGTGTTTCTCGATTTTGCAGTCACACAAGTACAAAACATTTACTGAATAAATATAAACAGAACCAAACACCCTCTAAGTGATTTATTGTGCCAATTTATGAGGTGTTTGACAACGTAAAAGGTTTTGCTTTTTATAAATAAAATCAACTACCATGGCAACAAAAAACAATACATTTGTATTGATATGACAGCTGTTTTGTGTTTTTGAAAACAAAAACATTTACATTGTCAAACACCCCCTTACACCATCGATTAAAGAAGGGATCTACTGGATTGGAATATTGGATATGCATTCAATCCCATGATCCCATATGTGATCTGTGTCACAGCTCCATATCCAGTTTTAGGTTGGAGTTTGTCCAATCAATTACAAATATATATTTTAACATTTTCATTATTAAGAATGTCAGTGAAAATAACTCAATTTAAAACAAGTGGCAAGGTATTTTGAAAAAAGTTTTTATATAGGATTCGACTATGATATTGGAGAAATTTACTGCCAATCAAATGGTATTATAGTAAAAGTGACCAATCAGGTGGTATTGATCAAAATTCAGGGAGATGCTGGTCTAGGGGCAACATCAAATATAGCCTTGCAACATAGAAACTATATAGGTACAAGCACACATGCTACACCATATAGACTTACAAAAGAACTCACATGAAACCTATTCCAAGATGGAGGATCCCCCTGGCACTGATCTTTGAGCTCAGTGCTCCTATTGAATATCCATAATTATTCAGTGTTTTATAGCTTAAGTCAAATATAACTGGAAAATGAACCCTTATGATTCATGTGAATTGAGACTCCCAATTCAATGATCCATGTGCTAATTGGGTTTAGGAGAATATTGAGGACATAATGTTCTATGGTATAGATGATTTACTGAACTTGGGAGAAATATGGAGTATTGTTCTTTCGTCTTTTTCCATAAGACTCCCAATTCAATGATCCATCTTCTCTTTCGTCTTTTTCACTTTCTCTAAGATATGAATCATTTTTTCATAATTCAAATCCTTAACTTTTCTTCTTTAGGATATATATTAAAGTAGTAAGAAATGATTTAAGAGCCCACCCCATAGTTTAAGAATGGATATAGTACTGAATAGAACAGAATGCCCGAATAGGATTCATGTTGCCTATGAGGACCCATATAGTTGGGATGCAGCTTAGATGATGAGATGATGATACATAATTTTCCTTGGTTTAGTTAAATGAACCACATGAAACCAGCGTACAATTGCCAAATGAAGAACCTGAATTGTGAATTTAGGAGACTATATCTGATGAAGGAAGATTTGGCCCGACCTCGTAACCACTCAATACGTGGTAAAGGCAACAGCTCGGCACAACAGCACGCCAAGGCGTGAGCTCTGAAAGGAGGAACCAGTGGTCTGAACTCCCTACAAGGAGCCCGAACTCCCCATAAGGAGCCCGAGCTCTCCCTTAGGCCTAGAGCCTTATGAACACAAAGGGCAACAACCCGAACTGGCCTGCCCCATGGTAGTTCAGGCCGCACCTCTATCCGAACTCAAGACTTAACCTCGCACACCACTCCAGCACTTCGCCTCCAGGACACTGAACTGAACAAACCACACCGTACCTGACACCGAAGGAGTCCATATCCAGGGGCGGTGCACCTGAATGACTTGGGATCTGACGCTTGACAGCCGCACTTCAACGGCCACCTGCCACCGCCACCTGCCACCGCCATCTCCAGTTACAGAGACAGCTCCGACAAAGAGCAGTGGCGGTTTTATCCCAGCAGAGGTGATGACACCCGAACTGGCAGAAGCACAGAAGTAATCATACCCGACCTGATAGAAGCCTAGGAGTGAATGCGCGAAGTGGTTATAAAATGCTCTCTACCCCCTGAGGACAAGGTATGTGAACTTTGCGCCATCTGATTTTATCTTGCCTTTGAGAGAATACTAACTTGAGTTTTAGAGCAATCTCACTGGGTTTCTTCCCAAAGACTCCCCACTTTCTTCTCCGTTTCAGGCCCCCTGTTGCTTCAGTCAAAGACAAGATTGTTGACAACTAGGATCGGCCAGATTGCGCACCATCAATATCTCTTTTTTTCTTTTGTTGGAAAGGAAGTCAAAGACTCACTTTGAATTGCTGTGAAAAAGTTCACAAAATCCATAAGCAATCTTCACTATTTACCTTTTTCAAGGATGATATGTCATTTTCTTCAAAGAGCCTTCTGATTCTATTTGGTCTTTGTTGTACGATGTAATTGTTATATTCGTCAATAAAATGTGGCAGCATTCATTATCAATTGAAGTTTAATGAATTTCCAGAAGAAATATGGAGTATTGTTCTTGCTTCCACACTTGTATGCAAGTAGTTCCAGTGTCAATTGCTGACATGATGTCTAAAATGGCAAACCCACCAGACATGTACTACAATTTACAAGATTGTATAGGAGCTATCTATTTAATACCAATTTACAATATTAAAGGAA